CAAACATCCTGACAGCTTAACGCTGGCGCCCCCACTGGGATGGGAGGCCATGCAGCTGTTCTCTTCCATGGCCTTGGCGGGATCCTCTGGGAACCTGGGCAATGCCCTGCTAGGCTGGGTCCCCCAGAACGAGGCTTGGGCCGGTCTGGGCTGGTTTCCTCTTGAGGACCTGAGCCTCCTGTGTTGTCAGAGAGCCCTGAACAACAGCACGAAGTCTCCTGGTTGCTGTCACCAGCTGGCCGGCTGGTCTGAGACAGCAGAGCCCAAAAGAAGGCTCACTACAATGCCTTGCTTCTCCTTCTTTCCTTCGTGTCCTTCCCTGTAACATGAGGAGGTTGGACAGTCTGGTTCAGCCCTGACCGCCTGAGAGTCTACAGTCTTAGAAACGGAAGGCAGAGAAAACCCGTAGAAAGGACACTTCCTGTTTACCCCATTCCACCACCCCAGTCATGCCCAGTTTCCGGGCTGATAAGGGCCAGTGGTCAACTTGTGATACGTTTCGTCTCATGGGACCTCAAACTGGTGGGGTAACATTGCATTGAGTGTATGTTGAAAGAATTGTGAGGCTACCCTTCGGCCCAGGGTGAAAAGTTTTGTGGGTGCCGGATTTGGAGGCTGTAGCACACCTACTTCATGGCAGCCTGTTGTAGCTAGTGGTGGAATGAGCCCATCAGTTCTGGAGAACAGAGTGATTTGGATTCCCATTAGCCCTGAATCAGTTCCTCCATGTGTGAACTCTAGGTGCCCTTTCCTCTGCAAACCATACTTCATGGATAGAAAAATAGAAGGAGTCCTTTCTAGATGAATAAACCAATGCTCAGAGAGGTTGGGTAACTTGCCCAAGGTCACACAGCTGAGGCTTGATGTACCCAGCATCAAATCCGATCTGTCCAATTCCAGTTTGTGTTCTTTCCACGCATCGGAGCACTCGGCCCTTGATGTTCTTCGCTGGCAGATGCTGAGTTGAGAAATATACGTATTTCTTGAACACAAAAATCAGTAAATAAAATTAATTCAAAGCTATTTTTAAAAAAGTTTCCCAGCTAAGGAGAACCCTCCTGATTTTGAAAATTAAAATCGTAAATACAGTCACAGGAACACTCACAAGGCCTTTCAATATTTGTTCCTGAAGTTGAAAGGGAACAGCTCGGGAGAGCTCCTCAAGAGGCTTGAGAAGGTGACCTCAGGCCTTTCCTGAGATTAGTGCCAAATAGATAGGGGGAAAGTGTTTTCATTAAGGCTATTAGAGCTGGTAAGGGACACCGCCCCTGGGCCACTTAAGCTGTAAGCCTCTAGGCTTTTGACAGTCCCAGTGCCTTGAGGCAGAGGAAGGGTTAAATTTGTCTCTAACTACAAAGAAAAACCCTACAGTGGATTTAGCGAAAAGCTCATCTTTCAGCCATCTATTTTTTTCCAGTGCTTATTCATTTGAGAGAGATGGGGGGGGGGGGGGGACAGAGGATCTGAAGCGAGCTTTGTGCTGACAGCAGCGAGTCTGATGTGGGCTCGAACCTGCACCGAGGTCAGGCACTCAGCCGACTGAGCCACCCAGGTGTCTCTCCACTGGTCCATTTTGACATTGCATGTGACTTATTACTTTTCTTCCTTCCCAATGTCTAATGTGTGGCATGTCACCTGGTGAAATGAAAAGAAAGTCACAATGAGAAAGGTACTAAATAGGGCCCAAGGGTTTAGAGTCCTTAATCTATTCCCTTCATTAACAGAGCTCTTTGAGACACATTTTGTGGGTCTTTATGCGGTCTGGGCCCTGGCAGGTGATGGCCTTGAAAGAGGAGGGGCCCCAGGGATGCTGTCACGATCACTGGACTGAATTCTGTGGAGAATGGGGGGATGGGCTGTGCCAGGTTCACACTGTACACTGGCCATTCTTGCTAAGTGTGGAGTCTGCAGAGAAGAGCACGAGGGTGGAGGCAGGGAAGTCGTCAAAGAGCCAATGGAGAAATGTTTGACTTTCTGCTCAACAGTCCTAAAAGGGCAGGGATGATGCCTACTTGTTCATCCCAGTATCTGTAGGGCGCAGGATGGTATCTGCCACCTAGTAGGTCCACAGTAAATACTATGAAACCAGCTCCCTGTCTTCTGGCCTTGGCCCTCAGTTCGCAACTGACCCTCCTGATTGTGGTTAATAGATAGATGTCTGTCACTCCTCTAGAAGGTCAGCTTCATAAGAGCCAGGACAGTGTCTCTTTCCGGTCACCAGTGAATTCCTAGTAATGGGCACCATGCCTGATGCATAGCAAACACTCAACAAATAATTATTGAATGAATAAGTGAATAAATGAATAAATGCCTTTATAAATAAATGAGTGCATAAATGAATACGTGTCAGGGCTCTCTCTCTCTTAATACACAATACGATTTAAGTCACAATTAGCTTCCTAAATAGAATCGGAGAGACAGATTTGTAGAGCAAGAGTAACATGAATTCCTGGGCTTGAACCCATGTGTCTTCCATGTGGTAGGTTCTTAGTAACTGCTTGTGGAAGTATTCCTGGATTTTCTCATCATCTTTCTGAGGGTCTTCAGGTAAGGAATACAGCCTTTCAGGGCCTCGATTTTCTTATTTATCAAAATGAAAATAAGGACGTCTATCTCCATTTCCTTTTTAAAAAATGAGAATCGAAGAGACAACTTACACCAACGCCATACAACTGGACGGTGTCATCAGAGTCCCCAAGAGTTTACAAAGGAAAATAAGGAAGAAATGAGTGTAGCATCAAGAAGTCCCAGGTCCCTACGCATGCACGTACACGCGGGCGCACACACACACACACACACACACACACACACATACACACACACACCCCTACTCCTAATCCCCCCCCTCCATTTCTCATCAGCTTTCTGCAGCTGGTCACACTCCTAGCAAGAGACTGGCTTTCTTGTTGTGAACAGTTCACAACTCTTTCCAGCCGTGAGTAAAACAGAGAAGTGTCTGACTGAGCCTGTGAATCTGTGCCTGTTGGGCTGCAATGCCCACCACTCAGTACACGCTCAGCACGTGCTTGCTTCCCGACTGTTCTGCTGACCTGGGGCTTCTCAACTCTCTGCACAGGGTTCAGCACATACCAGGTGCCTCGTGCAAGTCTGAGCTAGGGATAAAGCAAGAGAAGAAGAGAGAGGGGTTGGCATATGTGCTCATGTTTCTCTTTCTTTCCAGGCACATCAGTGTCACCAGGTTTGGGTTCCGGGAGAGAGAGAGGCCCACGAGAACTGTCAGAGAGGGCTCGTTGTCTGAAGTAGCCTCACACCTTTTATTTATGATAAACACCATGTGGAGCCCCCAAATGTTGGCTCAGGCGGGCTCCATGTTGCCTGCTGTGCTAGAATGTTGATCCTGCAGCTGTTGCTAAATCATCAGGGGATCTGGCCACCTCCCTGCCACTTGCCAGACTGTTAACAGACGCAAGGAATCAGTGGTCTTCCAGCAAACAGAAAGAAGTGCAACAAGAGCTCTGGAGTTCTAGATCTTTCTCCGCAGACCACGGCTCTCTCCTGAGCCACCTCCTGGACATGTCAGCACGTACAGAACGATCTCTTGTTACCAATGAAAAGGCCGTTGTGCTGAAATTGGCAAAGGTTAAGGGAAGTGGAGCTCCATTTTGACTCCTAGTGACGGTAATCATGATGCTCTTAATTAAAGGCTGCTGGCGGGAAGGCTTTCCTGGCATCCGAAAACTCCCTCTGGGGCAGCTGCTGAAATACCAGCGGTTGGTGGCTGGAGCTCTGGAAGGAGGGCTGACTGGGGGTTCCTGGGAAGCCTTGTTCTGGAAGATTCTTTGGATCTGCAGATGAGCCTTAGAGAGCTGCAAAGGGAGGCCAAGGGGTTCTCAGCATCCGCCTCCCTTCTTAGGCCCAGAACCCCTTGAGGGCACAGCCCCACAGACAGTTCTGGGTGAGCGGGAAGTCGAGGCAAGGGCTGCAAACACGGGCCCCCCAAGATCAGAGCTCAGGTCTGGTTCTGGCCCTTGTTTCAGCTCGTTTGTTATTTCAGGAGCATTTAAGAAGCAGCCGTGAAATCCCACATATGATTTCATTTGCTGCCTGTTGAAAAGGTTTCTTATTCACGAAAGCTCCTGGAGAGGAAACAGAAGAGGTCCGGAGTCCGGGGTGTCCCTTGCCCTTCCGTGGGGCGGCCATTGCCCATTGCCCCAATTCTGCCATCTGCAAGGGGGGCGCCCACAGCCAGAGGGGGAGGCAGTCGTGAATGGCCCCTCTGCCCTCCCGGCAAAGCAACCCCAGCCGTAACCGAAAGTTCATCTCGAAACAGCAAAATGACACAGGAGATTATGTGTCTGTAGTTCCTTCGTGGGGCCTCAGCTGCTGGGTGAAATGAAGTCTCAGGGGCAGTTCTGCTACCTGTTAAAAAAATTGTTTTTTAATATTTATTTTGATAGAGTGAGGCGGGGAAGGGCAGAGAGAGAGAGAGAGAGAGAATCCCAAGCAGGCTCTGCATTTTCAGTGCAGAGTCTGACTCAGGCTCAATCTCACGAACCATGAGATCATGACCTGAGCCGATATCGGGAGTTGAATACTCAACCCACCAAGTCACCCAGGTGCCTCATCTGTTGCCTTGTAACAGCAAGGCCTGAGGCCCCCTCACAAGATTTCTAACCCCTCCTCGGATGCCTCATTAAGTACTAAGATGTACAAAGGCTTTTAAGCTTCATTTACTTATTTGCTTATGTTTACAATTGGGATAACTGACATACTACATTGTATTAGTTAAGGGGTACAGTGTATCTGTGTAGATATTGAGAAATGATTACCACCATTAACATCCATCCCCACACGTGGTCACGATTTTCTTTCTTTCTTTCTTTCTTTTCTTCCTGTAGGGGCAGGGGGAGAAGTGAAGTTATAACCGAGTGGAGCCCAGGTGGCTAAGGCACAGAGCTGACAGGCTGTCACAGAAGACCCCACTTTGCTCAGCCGACATAAGCTAAAAAGAAACACCTTCCCCCCTAGGGAGCTCCCCCCTCCTGGCATCAGCTGAGACACTGGCCTCATCGGCCCCGCCCACAGTGGCATCCGCAGACCATCCAGAGAAAGAGACATCATCTGCACAATTCTTTTCCTTGTGGTGAGAACTTTTAAGATCTACCCTCTCTCTCTCTCTATTTTTTAAGTATATTTATTCATTTTGACAGAGAGAGAGAGTAGCAGAGGAGGGGCCTCTGAGCTGTCAGCACAGAGCCTGACTCAGGGCTTGAACCAACCAACAGTGAGATCCCGAACTGAGCTGAAGCCGGGCGGTTTACCCTGACTGAGCCACCAGGCGCCCCTAAGATCGACTCTCTTAGCAACTTTCAAACATATAATACATATTGTTAACTATAGTCGCTATGCTCTACCTTACATTCCCAGCACCTACTTATTTTATAACCAGAGGTTTGTGTCTTTTGACCACCTTCACCCATTACAAAGGCTTTTTATTTTTTTTTATTTATTTATTTTTTAAAAATGTTTTATTTATTTCTAGGAGAGAGAGAGACAGCGTGAGCAGGGGAGGGTCAGAGAGAGAGGGAGTGACAGACTCTGAAACAGGCTCCAGGCTCCGAGCTGGCAGTCAGCACAGAGCCCGACGCGGGGCTCAAACCCACGAACCGCGAGATCATGACCTAAGCGAAAGTAGGACGCTTAACCGACTAAGCCACCCGGGCGCCCCTACAAAGGCTTTTTAATTTCATTTACTGTATAATTGTATCCTAAGGCTCAAGGTATATAAGATATATACATATATATCCATACACACACGTGTATACAAATTATATGCATATATACACATATAAGTATATATACAGGTATATGCATACACACACATATATAGTATATGCATACATACATGTATAAGTATATATACAGAGAATAGTAAATATACAGGTATATGCATATACACACATTATACATATTATATGCATATATCCATGTATAAGTACATATACTGGTATATACATATACACAATATACTTACATGCATATATATTTCTAAATATATACATATATGTCTTATTATATATAAATATGCACATATATATATACACCTATACATATGCATATATAACATACACCCCACACACACCCATATACACATACACATGTGTGCACACATGCACATATGTATACACACAGGTGCACATGCAGACACACATATACATACATATGCACATATACATGTACGCACTTACATGTGTACATGTGCAGATGCGCGTGCATATATGTACACACTTACACACACGGAGACACATACATGTGCACATGCAGACACAGACACACATGTACACTGCACACATATGTACACATACACGTATACACTTACACAATGCACACACATGCATGTACACACTCACACACATGCACATATATACACATGCATATGAACAGTATGCAATCAGAGTCACTGGTACTGTCAAGAGCTCTGAGATGGGTCACCTGGGCTCCCAGGCTCTTTCGCTGTCTTTCAGGCCATCACCTGGTGAACCTGAGGCCGCTGTCCCTGCCCCAACCCACTCCCTGGCTTCTGCTCAGCCCCCGTCACCCCTTCCTCCCCCGCTGCTGGCCACCTCGGGGCCACAGATGTCGCAGGAAGGACAGTATGTGCCCCATCTCGGTCACCCCCGACTCTGGAAGTTTCCCCCAGCAGAGCTGCGTGGGTGCTGGGTCAGCCAGCAGTGCTTCCCTTGATCAGAGTAAGACTGTTAACGCACGCCTCTCTTCCCAGCCAGGGCCCTTGGCTGAGTCCCATGAGTCCAGGACCCTCTGAAACCTCCCCCTGCTATGTGCCTTTGCCTCATGCTGTGTCCCCCCCCCCCCCACACACACAGATATACACCAAAGTCACTGGTCTCCACACAGGCCTGTGGGGGTTGGATCCTGATTTAGCATCTGTTACTTATTCTTTCTCTGGGAGATATCTCAGCCTCCATTTCATGGCAATCACACCTAGCAGAGATCTGGGGAGGGCTGGAGACAGAGAATGCCAGGTGCCAGGCGTCGTGTGGCAGCAGGACAAACGAAGGGTGGCACTGCTGTCCCCATGTCACAGCTGAAGGAACGGATGTGAGTGTACATACCCTGTGTCACAGAGAGACTGAGCAGGCGGGATGCTGGGACTCGACCCTGAGCTTGCCCTTCTGACTAGGAAGCCTGTGGTCTAGTCTTTGCCTGGCCTCAGTGCAGTGGCAGAGCCCCCAGGAGGGGCACCTGGCTCCTTTGGCCCCGGACCAGGGTCCTGTGTGGACAGCCATTCCTCTCTGGGTTGAAACCAAAGTCAAGCTCAAAGCTTGCAGGACCCAGGAAGCTGAAGGTTGCTAGGAGCCACACCAGCCTCACTGGATGAGAGTCACAGCAAGAGAATGGCAGCATTTGCACAGCTCCCGTCATTGGAAATGAAAACTGGTACCTCCTTCTGCTACTACTGGCTCATCTTGGAAATGAGGCTGCTGGTATTGACCAGGACTCAAAATATTCCAACTCAGACCCATATTCCCCACACAGATTCCTCATAAGGAAGAGCATATTCCTACCTTTTCAAAAGAGATTTTAGATGAAAGCACTGTGGATGATTGTCAAAAGGCTCTTCCTATGGGCCTTGCAGATCCAAAACTTAGATAATTAAGGAGGCTAAGAACATGATCTGGCCCTGAGACAAAGAGCCTAATTTAGAGTTAAGGACAGATACCCACCCCAACCCAAGTGTTTCTGCTTGGAGCACCGGACCCCAAGGCATCTTGTGATCAGTATTCGGAGTGACTTATTCTGGCCTTGAATATGCTGATCACGCCTTGTGAAGGAACCTATTGAGGAACTTGTTTCGTGATTATGGGAGCAAACATTGTGTTTCCTGAAAGACCTGGTTTTTTTTAATACTTCCCCTTAAGCAAACAGGCTATTGACCCTGCTCACAAAGAACTAACTTCACCCTTTTTATGCTAAAAACATTGTCTTGTGTGCTAAAGATACCTTCCTTCCCCATAGGATTAGCATCTAAATCCCCTACCTCCATCACTATTGATAAAGGTTATGCCTGATTCTGCTACAAATCTATGTTCTGGGAAATTCTTACATATCAAAGAAGTTTGTCATCAGAAATCATTGTCTAAGGCAAATGCCACTTCTGTGCCATCCCCCAAACACTTAATTATAAAATAAAGTTGAGCCCCAGTCAGGGCGGAGATGCCTGCCTGGTGACCCGGAAGATTCTTGTGGCTCTCATCCCTCCCTCGCCAACACCGTCCTTCCTTCAGGGACCCCTGGACTGGCTGGAGTGAGGCTCCAGCAGATGGTATTGGGGGCCAGAGAGCCCCTGCTAGAGAGGCACTGAGATCAGCCCCAGGTAGGGGGGGGGGCCCTGGCTGGCTGGAAGGCACACACCTAACCTTGAAATTTGGACAGCTGTTCTTCAGCCCTGCTCCAAGGGCTAGCAGGGGGTGGAGGGGAGTGGGTGTGTGTGTGGGGGGGGTGAAGGCACAGAGTCGCCAGATTTGCTGATGCCTTAAGGGAAGCCATGCATTGGGATCTTAGGTGAAATTCAAGAGGCAGCGGCGAATTCAGGCGAATGTATGTGTGTGGTGCATATTACACTGGCCAGAATAAAACCACCTATGTTAGCAGACTCTGGCCGGCAAGCTCCCACTCTGCCTACCCTATAAACCCTTTTATAATTTAAAGAAGGATCTGGGATGGATTATCTTTCCTTTGCAGATGGAGCTAACAAGCCTATCTCAGCTACCCCAGACTTTTGACGAGCTTCAAGCTTCCAATCAGGGAGACAGAGGCAAAAGCAGGCTGTGAGGTCACTGAGAGACACTGGGGTGGGGGGACAGGGGTTGGGGGGACGCTCTGCGAGCCTCTGGGGCCACACCTCACCCCCACACAGTGAGCTATTGGGCTGAGGCGTCCTTGTCTGAGAGCTCTGCATTCTCATCCGAGAGCACCAAGCTGGCCAGATGGAAGGGAAGCTGCGCGTTTGTGTCTGCAAAGTCCCTCGGTAGCACCGAGCACAGACGGGGTGCCGAGTGAAACAGTGGGGTCACTTCTCCAAAATTATTAAGAATTTCAATACAGCGGGGCGCCTGGGGGGCTCAGTTGGTTGAGCATCCGACTTCGGCTCAGGTCATGATCTCACGGTTCATGGTTCGAGTCCCGCGTCGGGCTCTGTGCTGACAGCTCAGAGCCTGGAGCCTGTTTCGGATTCTGTGTCTCCCTCTCTCTCTGACCCTCCCCTGTTCATGTTTTCTCTCTCTCTCTCTCTCTCTGTCTCTCTCTCTCTCTCTCAGAAATAAAACATTAAAACATTTAAAAAAAAGAAAAGAATTTCAATACAGCAACAGCAAAGCATTAAACCAAGGGCGGGCAGAGAGAGAGAATCCCAAGCAGGCTCCATACTGTCAGCACAGAGCCTGACACAGGGCTCGAACCCAGGAACTGCGAGATCATGACCCAAGCCGAAGTCAGATGCTTAACCTACTGAGCCATCCAGGCGGCCCAGCCAGGGCCCTTTGAAGCGCTGGGCCCTGGGTGGCTGCGCAGGGCATGCACCTACGCCACCCGCCCTGGCACTCAGCATGATTCACTTGCAGAACTAGCATTTGTTGAGCACCTACTGTATGCCAGACTGCATTCTAAGTGCTTGGCATGTTCTTCTGTAATCCTCAAAGTGAATTCATTATTACTCCCATTTAACAGGTAAGGAAAATGAGGCATGCAGACAGGTTAGGGCGCTTGTTCAAGATCACACAGCTGGAGGGTGACAGGTCCCCTTGGGAGGGAGGACACAGAGTCGCCGAGGCCAAGACCAGGCATCCCCCGCCCGCAGACAGACCCAGGCACAGATAGCAGGAGGGTCCTCCCAGACAAGCTGCCAGCTCCTTGCTGCTGGGAGGTCTGGAAGCCGAAGAGGAAGGGAAGAGGGTTCAAATGAGGACACTAGTGCTATTCATCAGCCCAGAGGCCTCTCTGCAGGGCTGAAAGCCCCAGAGCTTTATTCTTTGATCCAAACTGTGGGTCAAAGCTGAGCAACCGCAGGGCAATTACTCACCTTACAGCTCCAGGCTGACTCAGCACT